TAATCAGTTAGAAAGCTAAAATAATTCAAGAGTTATATCTACAAGTTGAGCTTCAAGTTATTTCAATCGAAACTTATTGGTCAATAAAATTTGTAGATAAAGCTGATAGTTAAACTCTCATTTGATTCACTTGAGATGAGTTAGCAATTTGACTTGCCTATCTGCCTTGCTGCCTTGCTCTGCCATATGTTGTCTACTTTATGGCTGCAAAGAAATCGAAAGTGTATTGATGCCAAACAAATCAGTCATCTAATTGTTGCATGTTTTTATAACTTGACACACACACGCGCACAGCATGGTGTGATTTTAATTGAACCGAGCAAAAGTAGCGAAAACCCAGCAGTTGGAGCTTGCCTACTGTGGCAACGTTAATAAAGCTGTAAACATATCAATTACAGACATTTCAATGCTTTTGCCATGGCCCAATTATGCGGCTAATATGACGCGATCTCTTTCTCTCTCTCTCTCTCTCTTCCAACATCTAACTCTTGCTTTTCTCTTGAGATCTTCCGCTACCCACTACCCATTTGCTATTGTTTTCATTAAATGAAGAAAGAAAGAAAAAACATTCCACCGCCGCAATGACAACTTGAAGATTTATCTATGGCTCCATTGACAGCTATACGAAGAGAGGCAGACGTCAAACTCCAAAACCAAAGTCGTCTCTAGAGGGTTGAGGGAGGCGTAAGGAGGGGCCGACTACTGTTCGGCTACCTGCCTCGCTCTCTCTCTGCCTCTTTTTCGCTCTGCCACTGGCTGAGTCACTTTTTCTTTCTCAACTTGTCGCCTGCCATTTTATCAAACGAATCTGTGGCATTTCATTTGCTTCTTCAGCCCACACATCTGCCGACGATTCGTACACATACACACACAGGCACACACATATACATACTTCAGTTGCAACTGCAACTTCAAGAGTCGTCAATGAGAAGTCCACAGATATTTTATCTATGAGTTGTCTCTAGCTGTTATACCCTGTAAGCATTGAATATGAATATGATGAGGAGTATATAAGTGTAGCTCTACTTGAGTCTATAGTATAAATTATAGATTCTTGTGTATAATGAAGTTTTCGGAAGCAGAAATATATATCACAATAGAGATTTTTGATTTGAGAGCGCTTACCAAAGAGGGAGAGAAGAGACAAGAAACTCGCCCTGGCTATGGTGAAAAGTACTCATGCTTCATTGCAGGGTATATTCTAGCCGTGCATCTACCTATGCTCACTCATGTGTATTGTTATTGCTTTAGACTTTCGTTTGGCCTGTGAGTTGCGTTGCGTCTTCTACGATTGTCTCCCGTACGTTTCAGTCGTTCCTGAAAGTGAATCTCAAATATTTCTTGATTATGTGCTCCTCGCCAGCGATGAAGGCAAAAGCAGCCACAGAATTCGCATATCGCATGCGCGATTCAATGCAATGTAACAAGGTCATGTGAGAGAGTTGCCCAACTAACAATGTCCCCTCCCCTCCTCTCCCCACGTCAGTTGCCTGCCCTGCCCTGCCTCTGCCTCTGCCTCTGCCTCTGCTGTGCTCAGCTTTGTTGCAGTTCGTATCTCTCCAGCATCTTTTGGCTCATTTGCTGTTTTGGCTCTTGCATTGGTTTTTATATTGTTGTTGTAAGTTGTTTTTATTTTATTTTATTTGTGTTGCCAACGCATTTCACTTTCTACTGCATTTCGAATGCATTTTTTTCTGCTGCTGCTGCCGCTGCTGCTAGCGACGACAAGTGGGCCGAAATCGACAAACGCTTTGACTTTTCTTCTTGACGCTTTTCACTTTCATTAGCGCACTTTTGGCATTTCCTTTTACCATATTGCTATTGCCATTGCCATTGCCATTGCCATTGCCTTTTGCCTGTTTGCCTTTTAGCATACTTTTTTAACTGACCATGAAATCTCGTATTCATTTCCCTCATTCTGCATCCACTTCACACTTATATCACTTGACAGGGCTGCAGAGTCTTCTGTCAGCTTCTTGATATCCAAGTTTTATTTGTCAACCTGTCAACTTTTTGATGATATCCAAGTTTTATGTGCCAGTCGAGCTGTTGCACTCTGTGTTGTTTGTTTGTGCTCAGGCAGCCAAAAATAAGTGGAATTTCTTTCTTTTTGCTCACACTTGACGCTTGCCACAGCTGTTATTCTGTCATTGTCGCGTTTGGTTCCGCGTTCTGCTGCAGTCAGCGAACGGATTGAATTTCATTCTGTTTATTTGAACCTTAGTTGAGAGATATGAGATTGCATTGTTTCAAATGTTGCTGTGCCTGTGAAAGCTGAGCACTGATTATGCAGTAGAATAAGGTGAGGGGTGAGGTGAGGGGTACGTGTCTAGAAGCTTGGCTGAGATCGGAGCGCTAAAAAGTGCTTAGATTTTTAGATACAAATAATTAACCTTAGAGATTGGTTTACACAAAAATTTTTCTTTTTCTTCGAATTTCATAATACATCAAATAATTCTGCACAATTTTATATGATGATATATTCTTTCTATTAATTTAGATTACTGTAGAAACCACAGTATTTCCAACTCTCCAGAACCTGGGCAAACCAGATCTACAATATAAAGAGATCAACTCCAACACGATCTAAAGTTAAGCACGTCAAAAATTTACATAGTCAAAATGAGATCTCGTTATCCACGTAACTTCATCTCTTAAGGATTATATTTATATTTATTTCTTCATAAAATTTATACAAATGCCATTTAAAACATGCAGAGCTCAACTTGATTTTTAATATTTTTATTAAATTACTTTTTTATTAATTAATGATTTTTATTTTTTTCATTAATTGATATTCAACTATATGCTGACTAATTTAAGCTTAGCTCTGCAAAATTTCCATTTATTAGTTTAGTAATTGATTTCATATATATTTAATTATCAATTTTCATTCAATCTTCCGGCTAATCTCTTTTTAATAGCCAATTTGGTTGGAAGAGCTCTTATGACGCCTTCAGTAATTAATTGATTGAAGAGCCCAGCAAGAGCTATTGAATGCCACACACACCTGAAATTCCCACATACGCGCTGCATACGCACTGCCTACGATTTCTTTTTACCAATATATATGTATATATAAATTGCCCGCATATATCAAATCTGTTATGTCAAATCTTTAAGATGTCAGGCCTGCTGAATATAAGCTGAGAATTGTTGCTGATTTTTCCTGCGCGCCTTGTCTTTAGTCTCCCCCAATCATACGGTTAACTTGGCTGGGAAAGGGAGCCAATTATCGCCCGAAGATGTTGACGTCGTCGAATTGGCCATTACGAGTTGGCAGCCAACTCTGGCCAATTGCTGTTTGACCGCTGACGATCGACGGCGATGGCGATTGTGCCCATTTCCGACTTCAACTTGACCACGGCGCACACAGCTAACTAAAGCGAGAGTGCTAAGGCTAGATAGACAGAAAGAGCCAGGTAGTAAGAGACTGAGAGAGAGAGAGGGGGGCGGCTATAGTTGGTGTTGCCAAAGTAAATCGACTTTGATTTGTTTTGCCCGCGCGTTGTTCGTGCAAAATTTCGCTGGGATTTCAGTTTTATTGGCCATTTGAACAATGAAATGGGCATTACAACTATTTCTTAGCTTTGAATTGTAGCAGATCAAATCGATTTCGATCTATTTAGAGTTTTTAGTATGCTTTTCACAGTTTTATTATTCAGTTTAATTGTTATTTAACTCTGACGTTTGTAAGCAATAACAATAGGATTACGTAAAATGATTCAATTATATGTGAAATACGATTTATTTAGATTATAGAGATAACCAAGAGACCAGCTTCAGGCGAAAACTATAACACACTACTACCCATACCATCTTTATCCTTTATGTTTAATTGTATCTTCATAAAGCAAACTGTATTATATTGTGATTTAGTCTATAAATCCATATTATAGGCTAACATATAAATTACAACTCAAATATCATACTAACTTTACTAAACCATGAGGCTTCATATATCAACTCAATTATAGAGACTAAGAATCCTTCCAAATAAGAACGGCGAGAGTATTTAAGCTTCGTCGTGCAGTTCCTTGTTCGTCTCCATTTTTTTTTTGTCTTACAAATTGGCCGTAAATGATATTTTCACAACTCGCATCGATCGCGTTGGCCCCGTTGCTGTTGCACGCGCCGGCCCCCCGCCCCCAGCACTGCCTGCTGCACGCCCCCTGCGATCGTCGACAAGTGAGAGAGTTCGCTGGGGTTAATATGGCCAATAAATTGTTATTGGCGAGTTGTTGCTGATTTCTGGCCTCGCTGATGCTTTATGGGCCATATTTTTTTTGGCCATGTTTTGGGGTCGATTTTGGGTTTTGCTTTGTGTTTTTTTTTTGGCCTAACGGCTAACGACGAAAGAAATATTGAAATTTGCAGGCAAATTGTTTTCAATTTAATCGACTTGCCGGGCATTTTTCATGCTGGAGTGCAAATATAATTAATGATAATGAATTGCTATGGCCAACGGAGCTAAGCTGAGCTTTGCATTTCTCCCCCGCCCACAACGAGAGGAAAAGCCAAGGAAAACTTTAAACTAAAGCAATGAAAATTATTTAGCGGCAAGCAAATGTCGTGCGACGTTTTCTTTTGAGGAATTATGTTTATTTTTGTTGCAGTTGCTGTTGCTGTTGTGGGAGTTGGAATTACATTTTTTTTGTTTTTGGCGGAGATTGAGGTTGATTTATCATTCGAGCGAAAGGTTGCCATAAAAATGTTGCTAAACAAATGTTGACGCAGCAGCCAATGGGTAAAAGTTTTTCATTTTATGGCTTAGTTTCTGCCAGCATTCGCCTGGCTGGCGGCTGAGCATTATGCAATTGGGGCCTAGGCCCAGGCCAAGTGCTAATAAAATCACGTTAACAATTTTAGTTTGTTGTCATTTGGCCTCAGCATGTTTCCGCTCCATTCGATTTTCATTTGCACACATTTTCACATAATCTTTGCATATTTGTTTTCAATTTTATCTTTTTAACACGCATTTCACGCTTTTCTCATTGCAGAAAGTGAATTGAAAGGCATCCGACAACATTTGCTTTGGAGTGGAGCCAGCAACAACTGCAGCCGCAACAGCAACAACCACGTTTTGGTCACTTTTCACACTTGGAGTTAATGTGAGTTTGGTTAACTTTGTAATTTGTTTTTAATACAGCTCTTGTCCGTGGAAACAATGGCGTTAAGCCAGCCAGCCAGCTAGCTAGTGGCCAAAGCGATAATGATGTTTGCATTGATGCACAATGCACTTGACATTGAAATAGGTTAACTGAAAAAGCTGTATTTGTTGGCGTTAAATGGGTATTTGGGTCAAGGAAAATTAAATGGGGTTTTCGGAGTTGAAAAATGTGTGTCTATTGACGAGCAGCTTTGTCGAAAGAGCGGGAACTGAGCTGTGTACCTCGTATAACTCTGTTTCACCTGCGTCTGTATACCCAATAGAAGGATCTTTCTCATTCCGCTTGTTGACTCTCGTCTGGCGTAGTTTTGTCTCTCTCTCTCTCTCTCTCTCTCTCTCTCTCTCTCTCTCTCTCTCTCTTCCTTTCTTTCTAACTTCCTTACTCTGGATATCTCTTCCTTCCTCTCCATGTTAGATACTTCATTATCTTTCTATTAATAGTTTTCTCTGCTCAGCTCAACCTATCTCTTTCTATATCTCTCTTCTCTTTCTCTTTCTGTTTAAATTTAGCTCCCCCGTCTGTTCCACATATCTCTTTCTTTATTCTTTCTGTCTTACTCTACCTCACTATTTCTATCTTTACCAACTATAAATCTCCATCCACCTCTCTTTCCCTGCCTGTATGTCTACCCATTTCAGTCCAACTCTTTCGCTTCTAAGTAGGTAACAAAGCTTTTCTGCCCGTTTGTCATCTTTAGAAGCTGCCAAGTCTGCCTCAAGTCAATTGTTTTTCGTCTAGCTCTTAGGCTTTCCCAATTCGTATTTTCCAGCTGCCCCCATAGAGACATTCCAGCAGTAGCCTAATCAGCTCTGTCGCTCGTTTTCTGTTCCATAATTTATGCTCGCCTGCCTAGAGACCGCTAATTTGGTAGCTTGTTTTGGACTTAGTTTCGGGAGTTATTTACAGCCGCGCCACCTGTCGTCGGTTCATAACAAACGACTTCCCTTACGGACAGTCGGACAGGCGGACAGGCGGACAGCGAGACAGCGAGGCGGGGCCACACTGTGTCTGCTACTCACTAGCTGGTTTTTCTTAGCCCATTTTTAAATAGATTCCAGAATAAATGGCAACTTGTTCGAACCACGAAAACACGACACATTTATCATGAGTGGAAAATGTGGAACCACAAAATGTGTTTATAAATTGTACAGACAAATTTGCTGGCTGGTCAACTAAGAGACAAAAAACTTGGCGATTAGCAAGCAGTTAGCAGAAAAAGGAGGTAGGAGAAGAGGGGGTGTGGCTGGGTGGCGCTGGCTGTAGCAGTCAGGTGCTCGTTTTGGGGCGTCTGTTTGCATGTGTTCAACATTTGTCCACGTTGCTCGATAACTTTCGTTTTTCTGCTACATGTGGGTCTGCCATGGGGCCAATTCTCTAATTGCTCTGCACCAACAGCTAACAGCTATCAGCTGAAAAACAGAAAAATGAAAAACAAAAAAAAAATATTTAAAAAAAAAGCGCTCCTTTTGTTTCTGTTTGTGGCGCCCGCCAGGCCCCCCGTCTGCTGCGCTATCGGTGGCTTTTCTTGCTCTGCTCTGTGTCCATGTTCCATGTCGCCATATAACGTCGGCCAGCCACCTTCCCACCTTTTTGGTTACAAATATTTTTACAGTCTGTAAGTCGCCTTTGGTGCCTTTTTATTTTATTTTTGCATGTTGCTGCATGTGTGGCAGGGGCCGGCGCAAGGCGGTCATGAGCCACGAACGACTGTGGGCCTAAGAATTCGCAATGTTTTCATTTTCAGTTGACATTTGCCACATGTTTTTCTTCTTTTAGCTGAGACACCCTAGACTAAATGTGTTAGCTTATAAGGTAGTTTGAATTAGAAAGCAATCAAATATCAATCCAACTACAGACAATAGTCAAGTGTCTTAGTATGTTTCCTCCCTTTCTTCCGCTCAGCTCATTGCTCAATCTCTTCCACCTTATAGTAATTCCTGTTCCAAATTCAAATTCCTTCTAGTCCCTCTCCTTTTCGTTGTGTTCATTCGCTTCTCTTTGTGTCTGTTCATAATTTCTTTAAAGATTCTCTTCTGCCTTTGGCCCCTATGGCTTCTCCCACTTCTCTGTATACATAGTGTATTTATTGATGCATTATGGCTTCAAACTCTGCTATACCCTACTATTTAAGAGGATCCTTCTGCGGTCACCTTCTCTACATCTCCTACTGCTTCCCCTTCCTCTTCTACTTCAGCTCCAATGTTGACCAAAAACTAGCTCGAGCGACCACAAATAGTGAAAAAAATTAACAATTCATTGTCTTTGTTGGCCGCTTCGCCTCCCTTGGCAGCATTGATGCTCTGGTTATCTAGGTGGGCCACAAGTTGTTGTCGTCGTCGTTCGTTTGTGGTCGCTTTGTGGCTGAGGTTGACATGCCGCTTGAACCCACTAAAAATACCCTGCAACTAGCCCCCCGACTTGCAAAAGGTTTCCTGTGATTGCACGGCATTTGGAATCGTGTACATTGCGGTTGTTGTTGTTGTTGTTGTTGTTGTGGTTTCTGTAATTGTTGTTGTTGTTGCTTTATACAAGTCAATATGGTTATTGTTATTGTCATTGGCGCATGGCCTGCAATTTGGCCATTTGGCAATAACAAACGACAAAAGCTTCACGTGTGTCCAACTCTGGCAAACATGTTGCCAGGCAGTTAACAATTCATTAGGTGTTGCATTGCCTCTTGCTGTTGTTGCTGTTGCAGCCTGCTGCAACTGGCTAACAATTTATGGCATGTTGCCTCGCGGCCAACTTGATTCAGTTGGACAAAGCTGGTCAAATGCGTCGCAAACGTTTCTTGGAAGAATTGCCACAGATAGAATGATAATTTATGCAATATATATATTATATATACACAGGTATATATATATATATCTTTTTCGAACTGCCTGTGGAATGTGGTCTATGCTAAGTTTGTCATAAATTGTCGTCATCTGTTGTCGACCTCTACGAGTCGTCGTCGTCGTCGTCGTCGTCGTCGTCGTTTTGTCTAGTTTTTAACTGAAATACTATTGAAGCTTAGTCATGGCTATTTATACGTTTGCTACAGTGGGGTATGCGCACTTTGTCACGCAACGTGTGACGTTTCTGTAAACATGAAGTCATGAAGTGAAGTGAAGTTTTTAGCAGATTAAAGATAACTTCTCGAAAGAGTGGAATCATTCCAATTACCGTTTTATATCACCGGAGTCTATAACTTCCAATGTAATAGTATAGTATATTTTATTATATTATTTTATCTACCTGCTTGGCTATCTTATCTATAATATGTTATGAAAATATGGGCATTCTATTCGAAATAGTTGATTTGTTGTCACTTTGTTGCTTCTTTCTTTTAAAACTGATAAAATAGTTTCGATTGTTTGGTTAAAAAGAGAATAAGAGTCTTTATCACAATGACAAAATATCTGTGTTAAAGATCTTTTTCTTTTATAAGGAAATTAGAATTTTTTAAATTGATCTTTTCATTCTGAAGCTATTGAAAATTGGAATTCACTCAGAGATCTAGCCAGTCATGTCCATCTAGACGCTTGCCATAGCAGTTTTGCGCATGGTTCAGGGTATTTCTAAGTCAGGTAATTCCAACTTACCAAAGCTGAAATTCTCTTTCTTACGAGATTTTTAGCATGAGATAAGCTCATAGCTGAACTTCTTACAGGGTATCTATCAAAGTTGCTATACTTCTTCCATTCACTCTTGCTTTAAGTTGCTTAGCGTTCAACAACTGTTCGATGACTCAATTGTTGATAAGTTCAAACAGAATGAAAGTAGGAACAGCTTTACTATATACTATATATGTAGTTGAGCTTTCAGCAGAGTTAAATTTTTTTGCGATTGATTAAATTCGATGGCAAATTAAGTACCAGAGTTGATTTCTTACTTTTTAGCTCTTATCTAATCTTAACTATATAAGACACGAGCGTCCAAAAGTTGCCCTAGTTGAGTCAATTCAATTAAAGTGCCCGCACACAAAGGCTTTGAACTCAGTGAGTTATTTGCTTGACTTTTTAGCGTGAGAACGTTTGAACTGACATTGCTATATATAGTATATATATAGTATATATTTCCGCAGCAATGTACATATTAGGTAATAAAAAAAAATAAATGATCTGAGGTAAAGAAAACGAAAGTTTGTTTTCATCTTCATTCAATTTGCGTATCCATTGTAAGTTCTATTGTGAACGTATTTGTTTGCTTTGAAATGTTTTGGCAGATTTATGAGGTTATCTTTGTGCTACGCATATAGAAATATCTCTCTATATATATGCAACTAAATAGAGACCACAACTCCCAACTCTTCTGTAGTAAAGTTTTTCAAAGGTTTTCCGTCGCGCTTTGTGGCTTTTGTGTCTAGCCAAATATTTGCTGTCCTCTTTTATGTTTGTCTTTTGTCTCCCTCGCACTGCAGCCCTTTGGCTTTATCTCTTTGTTTATTAATTGCGAGCGCGTGTGTGCTTTGGTTACTGCTTCTTTTCTTCGTCTTCTTCCTCTTCTTCTTCTCTATATGTGTTCAACATGTTTGGGGGCCGCGAAAGCAAAGTTTTCCTGGAATTAAGTCGTTTATTACCGCATCTATTGCCTGTCTGTCCAGTGTTATGTAACGCCAGACAGGTGCGCACCTCTCGCTCCCTTCCAGCCATACAGCACATGACAACTGTGAAGGGGCATTAGGTTAAATCACCTTTGTGTTCAACGCATCTTTGGCTCGGCTAAAATTTGCATAGCTTTTTCGGTTAAGTGCTTGATTTGTTGCTTGTCATATTAACAATAAATTATGTTTTACAACACTATCAGTGCTGATTGATTCCATTTTAACTCTAACTTAAGCAAATCAAGTTGGTCTAACACTGAAATGGAAATGGACTTAGCTTTGGGCAGCTCAATCCATTTAATGTTTTGGGAATCCGAAACTATTAATTGCTGTGGAAGAGCACAGCTAAACTATAAGAGTATTAAAAGGTTTTCATATGCATATCGTAATATCTAAATGGGATTGATATAGCTTTGCTGGTTCGTTACTACTGAACAACACATTGATAATATTTAATACACCAAATGTGAGCAGGTTTTCTGCAGAGCTAATACATAATATAAATATGTAATAAACAGACTTTGCTATAGACTGATCGATGCCTGTGTGGTGATAATTTATAGAATGTGTGATGTGAATTTGCTCTGAGTTACCTTTAGAATAATTACCTTTTGCATCTGAAAACTAGTCCAAATCGCTGAGCATACAATTGACGCTTCTTTAAGATTCATTAATATTGGATTAGTAATACATATGAGCAACCATCACTTATTTTCTTGTATGAGTATGTAAAAGATTTCACAGATGCTTCACAGCCGTTTCTACTTTTGCTCAAATCAATTTCATATCTTTCGCGGCTCTGCAGATTCTTTATGTTCGTCGCAATCTTCGACGATTAATTATGTGATTAGGTAATGGACCACCTTATGTAACGTCCGAAAAGTAAATGCAGAAGCACTTTAAGCCAAGCCATAAAATTATGATTATTTTTCAATGAGTCATGGCCTGGACATGGATAAATACGAACACAGAGCGAACAGGCCAACGACGGATGTGTTTTCCCTGCCCTCTTCAGTGCTATGCAAATGGCGTGATTTGCATGGAAATACTAAAGAGAGGGTGAGAGAGAGAAAGAGACAGGGGGCTGGTTAGAGGTAGGGGTACTCACTCTTGACTATTTTTCGAGTGACTAAGCCAAAGTGTTTGGCGAGCTGTTAAAAGTAAAGTTGAAGCCTAAAAGCCTAGCCAAGAAGTGCGACCAGCTCATGGCTCAAAGCCATAAATACTATATATAGTATAATATACCTTACTATCTGTGTATATATGTATGTATGTACATAAGTATATATGTGCAAATGTTTGTCTTTTTATATGATTCGCTTAACGATGTTGGCCATTGCCTTGGCCAATTCATTTGCCCATTGCACTGGCAATGTGTAGGCCGCTTTTGGCTGTAACTTAAAGTTTCGCTTTCACCAACAAACCACAAGAACCACCACAAAAAATCAAAAACAACTGTAAAAAGTGCAAGTCGAGGCCTTTTTTAAATTGGCCCCGCGGACTCGACTTGTGCCGCGGGCCAAACTCCTGTTTTTTTTCGGCTCTCAACAATTATAATGGCTGGCAAACGTTATTTACTGCTTTTAACGTCGATTTGTGTGTCGTGGCACGCCCCTTCAGCCCCACCACCACCAGCAGCAGCCACCCACTCAACTCGCCGTCCAGACAGTTGCCGACAACTTTACGCCTCCCGCCCACTTTTCGTGTGTGTGGATTACTTTGCGATTGTTTTCAGTTTTCGCTTATAAGCCCCTTTGTCATTGCTTCTACAGGGTATATTTTGGGTGGCAAATATTGTTAATACTTGGTGTTGTATATATCAGTTGATCTCATTCTTTCTTAACTCTTTGTAGTTACCTTCGTCTTTTGTCTTCCATATGTCTGTCTCCCTCTGCCTCTGTCTCTCTATTTGTGTCTCTTTCTCCATATATAGTATTACATATCTCTCTCTCTCTCTCTCTTCTCTCTCCTTCTCCAACTTACAGGGTATTCCATAAGTCTATACCGAAATTTACTTCCTACATATGCGTAATTGTTGTTCCTGTTATTGTTTTTAACAGTGGCTGCTGCTATTTTAACTGGCTGCTGTTTCATGGTATCTTAAGTGGCTAAATAAACGCTTGCAGCCAATTTCGGATCGAGCCGGAGCTGGCCTAACCGAGCTTGGCTCGATTTGCATACAAATATGGCCCACAAGTGTTTTCGCGACTAATTTCGTATGAAAATTTGATTGCTCCCGATTAGAATCGTGTTCATTGTTTTGGCAGTTAGACGTACAGACAGACAGACAACTCTGCTGTCACCGCCCCCTATACACGCCCCCGTTTGGTCAGTTGGGCGAGTGTTTGCTTGTTTCTTTTGGAATTAAGTAATATTTCTGCTTCTCTTTCTGGGCGTTCGAGTCGTTGGCCTTCCACTGCAATTATGTAGTTGTCAGTCAGAGTTGGCTTTAATTGCTGTTTACAGTTACCGCTGCTGCGTGGGTGTTATGTGAGCCATAAGTTCATATTTGTTACACGAGTATGGCAAATGTTGATTAAACAGATATGAAAGTCTTTATGCAAATACTAATTTGTGCAGCCATTTAAGAGTTGTTTAATGTTGCAATCTGCTCCACGAGTTTGATTATTTGCTTGCGTGTGAATCTAGCTAGAAGACTAGATTTCCCATGCTCAATTCTTTTTCGATAAAGATATATCGTTTTTTCTCTTATTGCCATTCTACGTAACTTTGTCTGTGAGACAAGAGAGTATAGTAGTTCTTTTTCCCTCTACCCACTCCCCTATCCCTCCCTCTCGCTGTCTCTGTCTCTTCTCTCTTTTCTTTGTCCTCTTTATAAAGCATATTTCTCTCTCTGTCTGACTACCTCACTCATGCCCTTCCATTACCTCTCTCTCTCTTTATTTATGTATTATTTTTCTATGTGCTTCTCATCAATTCAAATATCGCTGATTTTGTTGATTTCCTTGTAAATATTCATAGTATTCATAATATTCATTTGCTCACTGATCTCTTACTTCCTCTTCAAGCAAAGCAGCTTCAGCTGTTTGTTAATTTAAGCATTTCATATACATATATAGATATATGTATTCATTTGAAATTTTAGTTTAATTGATTCAATTTCCAGTGTTTTAGACTAATTCGCGTTAAACGCTTTTCTCTCTCTCTTTTAATTACAGTGAAATTAACGATTAAATTGTGATTTTCTTTTTATCAAAAAAACATTTTGCATAAAAAGCAAACGAACGGAAAAACGAGCTAAAAATCCCGCCAGGAACTGGAACTGACTCCAAAAAATAAGATAAAACGTAAAGGTCGAAGCAGCACAGCGGAACGCTTGGCATGAAACGAATGGAACGCCCAGCGATGGCAGACATGCAAATTTATGCATTTTGAAGTACAACAACACGAAAGGCAACAAAAGCAACAACAGCAACAACAACAACAACGAAAACGAAACACGATTTAAAGCAGATTTTAAGCAAATTAATTAAATTAACATAGACATGGAAATCGGAACCAAAAACAATTAGCGCCACAGCATGGAAGCTGCCACAGAAACGCGAAGTCGAACTGACGTGGATGAGGTGGCGATAGGCGCAGAGCCGGTGGCGGTGGCGGTGGCAATGGGCGTGGCCGTGGCCACAGAGGAGACGTCATTTAGCAACCAAGAGACTGATAAAGCGGCCATCACAATGCAGTGCAGCAACGGAAGCACTGACATAACTAAAGCAACAATAAGAGTGGAGGATGTGGTTGCATTTGTCATGCCAGCATTAGGCACCACACGCACCACCAAATCGGCAACGAAATCTGCGAGCAGCAGTCGCAGCAGCTCGCTAAGAAAACAGAAGCAAAAGCTAAACATGTTGGATGTGATTGGATGTGGTGTTGGTGGCGTCGGTGGTGCGGGCGTGGGCGTGGATGGATGTGGTGTGGCCGGTGGGGCTGCCAGCAATGATATGAAAATATCACAATCGATGACCTCGTTACCAGCGGATGAGCTGCAGCAGGAGCGGCGTGATGTCATACAAGCCAAGCTTCATCTGGAGCGACCCTACAACAGCCTCAAGGTAAGTGCGGCTGCCAGGTGGTGCCAGGTATCTCGTTTACGCTGCGCGCATAAATTTCCAATTGAGAGTTAAATATTTGTGGCGCCTTGCTCTCCCTCTCTTTGTCAGCTTCTCTTATGCTGCGTTCCACACGCCAACAAGTTGAGCTGGTTCAAGCCATGACAGGTGGGTCAGGAAAACAGGGGCAAGGACAGGGGCAGGGGCAGAGGCTGGAGCTGGTCTCATGACTTCAATGACATGTTGCCGTTAGAATATGAATTCTTGAGCTCGTTCTTGTCGCCAGCGTCAACGGAAATTGCTTTTAATAAATTATTAATCAATTTTAATTTCGTTATTAGCATGCGCGCAAATATGTTAGAGAGAGAGAGAGATATATATATGGACGGTGAGAGGCATATGTAACGGTTGTTAAATTGCTATATATGTTTTTTATATGCCAAAACGTTCCAATTGATGTGAGTAGGCTTTGAGAAGAATGAAAGGAATTTAAACGTGCCAATTCTGATATACAATAGATGCGTGAGATGTGAATAGGGAGAGACAGTGAGAAAGAGAGAGATTGAGGAGAGACGCAGAAATTAATATTTCAATAATTTGAAGCAGTGGAGTTATGTTAAGGAACATTTCGAATCCGTAGTTTCAATAACTGAAGCAGTTCCATTAATTAAAACCGTTAAATACTGAAAATGACTAGATCATAACAATAATAATGACTGTCCAATACCGCTGTTCCAATAATGGAAGCAGTGAAATGAAAATTGATAGAATAACAGTGAACAGTAACAGTGAATAGATCAATTCCACTGTTCCAACTATTCAAATTATACATGAAAATCTAAAAATACTTCTCATAGCTCAAAATTGAATAACCATTACTCTACTTTATGAGCATTCCATAGTCACACTCAACTACTCTGTGCAGCTCTTTGCACTCGCAAAAGTCACACGTTCCATTTCCGCATGTTTTGCAAATTAATCGAACATCGATTGCGCCATTTGGCAATTGTTTGATTTATCGATTTGTTGCGCATTCTTAAGCGAAGCTGAAAGCGGTTTACATTTTTATAAGCTGAGTTGTTTATGGGTAGGCAGAGGGAGAGCAACTCTCGATTATTCAATGCAATTAATTACTCGTCATTCAATCAAAGTACGTTTTCAATTTGATTTCTGCTTAAGCCTGACGAAGCTGTGTAAATAGGAAATTTTCTTTTGATTGTTGCTCGCACAAATAAAAATTCATTAATTAATTGCGCGCGCTTTGCAATTTGGAGCATTGTCAAGCGGAGGGGGGGCCAGGCTCAGTAGGAGTTGGCTCCAAAAATGGCTAAGCATATCGCGTCCATATTTGGCAGCTCAAATTACTTATTTATTAACAACAACAATATAACAACAACAATGGATCCGCCTATTTCTCTCTTTGCAGAAAAACTCACAGAGCAGCAGCAAGTGCTCCAGCAGCGGCAGCAACAACAAAATGCACCGTTACTCTTGGGGCAGCGGGCACAGCCACAGCAGCTCGACCAGTCTGCACAGTAGCGCCACCTTGGGGCTTGGCTCGTCGGGCAAAGACGACCTCTGGGCGGCCATACAAACGAACTATAATTATATTATGGACACAAACCTGCTCGATACGTGCAAAGAGGCGCGGTTTGAGATTGAGGAGGCACAGCCAACATCACGCGAGTCCAAATTTACAGGCAGTCAATTACATGTGAGTTGAGCGAAAGCGCCAGCTATCGGACGGTAGCTGCAACTTACATAATGTGCTAAACTGTTTACTGTTTAGCCAAGTTGCAAACCTTTGTGTGCTAAATTTAATTTATTTATTAATTCTTATTTATTTGTAGATTTTGGATGAAACACAGCGCCCGGAAGGCTTGTGTGAGGATCCTAAGGAACTGCGTCGCTGGCTACGCGACATGGAAAATAAATTGGAAAATGCGCCAACTATATCGGAACTGACGCTGTATTGTAATTCGGAGTTGCAGCGCCATCTTGCAGCACACTCGGTAAGTATTATAGTTTATTTGCTTTGAGTATGTTGCCTAGCTTAAGGCGCAAAAGTTGCCGCAACATGCGTAAGGCAGCTGCATGTTGCCAAGAGCTGAGAGCTGAGAGCTTCGTAGAAATCGCTGGAAATAATTAATTTTAATTATTAATTGAGTTTTTAAATGCAAAAACTGTATTGCGTAAGCCACGGTAATTGGAGCTCTAAATTTTTGTATAATTTTCTCACAAAATGCCGTCGTTTATAATATGAAAACCAATAAATTAAACTCTCAAAGCAACAAGAAAAACCTTCAAAGCGAGCGAGAGATACACAAAGTTGATAACAAGTCAAAAAAAAAGACGTCGAGATACTAATCGTAGGTAAAAGTGTAACGAAGTGAATAGAAAAATTACACGCATTTCATTTTGCTTTTCATTTGCAATGACTTTGACTTTATAAGTTGTAAAGTTTTGGTCTAGGCTGCCACATGGGGCAGCTACCTGGCTATTCAGAGTGTGCGAGATTGTGTAACTAAGGCAATGATTGAGCTCCCCCTCGCAACCACGACTTCCTCTCGAAAAGTAAACCTTAGACAATGTTAACTTGTTTTCATTTTCATTTATAGTACTAAAAAGTGAAAATTGCTTGTAAGAAAATTCAAGTTGTTGTTGTTGTAGCTATTGTCTGTCTCTGATAGAGCCCAAAGCTTGAGCTCTGCCTGCAGAAGCGGACGTCAGTGTAATTGCAACACCTTCAAAACTTTTGTTTAATGTCTTTTTGGTAGGGGGATTATTATCTATCTATATATATACATATATTTATATATATGTGTGTAAAGTATGCATAGTATATGGGAATTATGCAATGGGCAAAGCCTGTGGAAAACTATCTGAGCTATTTGGCTAAAAAGGGGGCCTCGAACATAAATCTAAGACGGAAGAGCTGCAATTGCCTTGCCGAGCTTAGCCTTGGGGCTTGGCTGTGCAGCATTTTGGAGCTGATTGAACATGACCATGACAGCTTCAGACAGCTGTCTGGATAATGCGATAGCTGTCTGAATGTGAGAGAGAGAGAGAGAGAGGGAGGGAGAGTATGTATTATATAAGAAAGTTTTGCATTTAGCTAAAAAGCAGAATCAAGTCAAGACAATTTACAACTTTTACGCCTGAATAATTAAATGAAAAAATTGTTAAAAATCTAATTTTTTGTAATCAATTGCAGAAAAGCTAAAGTTAATAAATGCAGGCTGCAGGGAGGCGTGACAAATATTTGAAAGCTCATAAGGTATTAATCGGAATGACGTAATGAGTCGATCTGACTAAGTATGTTTGTCCTCTCTCTCTCTCCCCCTCTCTCTCTGTCTCTTGCTCTGTATGTGTCTCTCTCTCTCTATCTCTCTCCCTGTTATCAATCATCTAACATTGCAGTTATTCTCAAGCTATACATTAATTAGGCTTTGTATGGGAATTTTCAGCGTTCAGCAATATATTTGGTATATTTGGTATTTTTGAGTAGTTTTGGTATTCTCTTAGAGAGCATCTTTCGAACATTCTCGCTTAACATTAAAATCAAGTTAAAGTTTCACCCAGAGAAAGACTCAAGAGTTGAGCTCGATTCTGAATAGACACGTTGGAGTTGCAGTTGGAGTGTGTCGCGGGCCTTATATAAAGCGTAACCTGCCTGCTGCGATTCTTCAGTCTCATCCCCGACCTCTTGTTGATGAGTCAAGCCGAGCAGTGCAGTGCATCCCTTCCTCTTCGCTGCTCATAATATTAAACATATTTATATACATACGTTTTTGGCGGCAGAGATGCATTGAATATAAGAATATAAAAAAAATAAATGGCATAAGTAAATTAAGAAATCACAGCTTTACATATACTCTTATACAGTTACTGCTAGAATATACTTTCTACAATAGTTTTTAATACATTTTCCAACTGGGTTTCCCCATGCTTAACCTTCACTTAACCACAAAATCTCAGTTTAAATAACTTTGTTTTTCTAGAAAAGTTTCGAATAGTTTTCCTTTGCCTTTTCTATTATGTCAAAGTGTTGTGTAACAATGCCTTTTATTTACTTTTATTTGTTGTGCTATTTCTCGCTAATTGAACATTCCATTTAAGCGGAATCCAGCAGGCCTCGATCTGATCGCCTTGATGCAGCTCATATGATGCATGTGGATTATAGTTCCCACCCGCAGCTGTTGGTATTTGCAGCAAAAGCGCTCGAGCCACGGGCCACGAGCCAAATGAAAGTAAACAGCAGCCAAAAATAACAACAACACACAACAAAGAGACAGACAGACAGACAACAAACAATAACAATGCAAACTGTTAGGCAAAATATGTTTGTTGCATTGGCAAAGGAAACAAAAAATTGCAATCGGCTTGCTTCGGTGCATCGCCTCCGTTTTGGCCCACTGATTTACGACAATTGTTTTGTCACGTCGTCGATTGGCAACTGTAGGAGTGGAGGGGGTGGGAGCGGGTGCTACAAGGGTGGGGAGGGGTGGAGTAGTTAGAGAGGAACTCTTGAGCCGGCAGCCAAAATGTCAATTGCCCGAAAATGGTTAAACATATTTTCAATAAGTTGTTAGGCGTTTGTCTCTGTCGATTGTAGTTTGGCAGGCGACACGCAGCAGCAGCTCCCCCTGTCCCGAGAGCTACCCCCAACTGGCCCCACTTCCTCTGCTGTCGCATCCACACCTGCAGTTGGAGCAGTTGTCAATGTGGAGGATGCATTCGTTTTGGACTCCACTTACTGCAGCCGTTGGCGAATGGAAAGGCGCGGGTCGATGCAAATGGGAAATGATTGACTGGCAGATACCCTGTGTGGTAAGACTTTTGTTATGCCAGCCTTAGTTATAGCACTGACTACTATATAACAAGCTATACACGACATGAATAGTTAGTTCTAATAATAATTGAGACATGCTCAAAGTATTGTAAAGGAAAATTCTTAACGATCTTCTCTTATCTATGTTTAGGCAAGTTCCCTCTGCCAGCATACTCTGCTCTGCATACAGGGTATACGTATTTGTCAGCCAACGGCTGATTATCTTTCGAAATATGAATTCATGGCTCGCTTGCAGGATGCATTGGCTCTGGCTTGGATGCGGGCCAGCTGCTGCTGCTCCTCGACGCTGGTCCCACAACAAACTCCCAACGCACTGGAGTTGGGGACTGGGAGCCCAGGCCTAGGCCTAGGCCCCTTGGGTAAAACTAAAACTGCCAAATGCGAACTTTCCAAATATTAATTGAAATCTTTGCCACGGTTCGTTCTGGTTGCCACAGCGTGTTGCAACAAGCATGTTGCGCGTGGCAGCTTAACAAGGATGTCTCTGTTAAGGCCCAGGTCCAAAAATGGACAAATGCGCAATTGTTAACACAGTTGCTTGACTGCCAGATACCCTAGGATGCACTCAAAGCTAACTTTTATGAATCTTAAGATAAGCCGTATTAAAAACACTTAGGTTGACTGTGAAATACCCTGCAATTTACTTGAATACGATTTAAACTGTTTGAATGTTTGAATTGTTTTAGTTTACATACATATGATAGGCCTAGACATTCTCTGTGCTCATTAAGGGTACAAAATTGAATGAAAGAAATGCCAGACTAAGAGATACTCATTCATCATTAGTGGTAGTTATGCTAGTAACAAGTATATGATGCACAATTGCTTATAAAACTCACTTCGAAGTAGCTAAATTACAGAAATAGTTGGTAAGCTTGATAAACTAAAAGATACCCTATACTAGTGACTGCACTTACTGTTTGCTATGTGAGTTGAGGTTCAATAGACCTTTAGTAAAATATTTGTTTTTATTTTTTAAAATGTATTTTGAAAATAGTGCTCAACTATGACATACCCTGGGATAAATATTTTCTAAGCATAACTTCTGTATGTTTGTGCCTTTACTATTGAACAGCCATGTTACTATGGGTTTCATAGAAAACAAATGATCGACTAAGAGATACCCTGTACTATATATATGAGTTATATATGATTGTCAGTCATAGTTGCCTCAAGATATATATAGTTTTAATGTTTGGTTTTATGCTTGCTAGGCGACCCTTTTGCCCACCTCCATATAGGGTATAAGGTACGCTTTGCTTTTTTCTCCCTGTCTCCACAAGAAAAGTGAAGGTGGTTCGCCTGTATTGGCCATGCCAAAGCCAAGCCAAGCCAGGCCAGGCCGCTATAACCTAATGACAATGACAATTGATTATGCGGGCTGTGCATTGCCAGATTCCAGTTTTGGGGCGCCCAGGAAGTGCTCGAGTTTGTCGCTAGTTTGGGCTTTATGTCGGCCATAATTTAAAGCCGCCGCCAATTCGATTTGGATCTGTTTTTTGCCAGTTGTTTGTCCAATTCTACCCACTGACCATTGTTGCTGTCGCCGTCGTCGTCGATGTCCTCCGCAATCTCAGCACTCGATTTGCATAACAATTGCTGGAACTAAACCTTTCGCCCAATAAGTTGCAGCAACGGCGGCTCCATTGCAATCAAGTAGCTGCAGCCCAATATAGTTGCCTGCGGTCCAGCATATGCGCCAGCTGACCAATAAAATATTGCCGAATTAGCTATAAAAATCTTTTGATTTCGTTGCACTTTCGTTTGGCCCAGCAAATGAACCTTAAAATCAACTTTCCATTAAAGGCGAGTGCGAGTGCTGATGTAGTTTACATATATATATATTTAATATTTATTAATGCGTTGATTTACAGGCTGACAACCCTTGAGCGAGATATATGTGTTATCGATAGGCACTTATCGATAAATCTTAAACGAAATCTTCAACTCTGAACTGTTTAGTAATCTTTGAGTTTGTTCCTTATCTATATTAGTTGTCATAAGTATTTTATAGATTATAGATTATTTTTATATATGGACATATCGATAGCCTAAAGAAAAAAACTGTGTGTTAATACTCTGTATTTCGATTAGTTTTTGATCTGTTATCTAGATTATCAACTCGTTAAACTTTCGTTTAGTGAGGCCTTCTTCACATAC